ATAGTGACCCTGAACAGGGTTTCCGAGACGGTACATCTTTACGGGAGCAGATCGCCTCATCTTTCTCCTGCGGAGCAGCTGGTAGTTTCGAACTGCGGACCTTGAGGTTCGCAGCCCGATTCGTAACCACTACGCTACCAGAGCTCCTTCTAGCAGTATTAGTTAAAACTTAAAAAAACTCTGTATATATCTTAATACTTATTTTATAAAAATGAACCTGTGAACTTAAAGAGGAGGAATTTGCTTTTTGGGATTCGAGACTGAGTATATTACTTTACTTTGTTTTGCTCCGTGGTTGTTATTATTCAGTGTTGTCAAGTCGGTTCCAAATCATAGCGACTCTGTACAGGGTTTCCGAGGAGCAGCTGGTGGATTTGAACAGCTGACTCTGAGGTTCAAACTGACCTTGCTGTCCAGCGCATTATCCTGCAGCACCACACCAGGACTCCCAAAAAATCAAACTCACTGCTGTCAAGTTGATGCCTACTCATAGCTGTCCGATAGGACAGGGGTAAAATTACTCCTTAGGAATTCTGAGACTGTAAATTTTTATGGGAGCAGACAGCTACATTTTCTCCTCCCCTATCCCCCCAAAAGCGGCTGGTGGGTTTGAACTCACCAGTTATTAAAAGTACTACAGCCTGCCAGAAGAACAAACAAATCTGTGTTGGAAGAAGTGCAGCCAAAATGCTACTTAGATGTTAGGATGGAGAGTCTTCGTCTCTCATACCTCTCACATGTTATCAGGACAGACTAGTCCCTGGAGAAGGACATCATGCTTGGTAACACGTAGGGTCAATGAAAAAAAGGAAGACCCCTAATGGGATGGATTGGCACAGTGCCATCATCAATGGGCTCAAATGTAACAACAGTTGTAAGGATGGCTCAGGGCCAGGCGACCTTTCCAGAGTTTCATTGTGTTGTGCAGAGAATCGCTATGAGTCAGAATTGACTTGACGGAACCTAGTAACATTAATAACAAGAAATCCTCTTCTTTAAATTCACAGGTTCCCTTTTATGAAGTAGTTCTTAAGATATACAGTTGCAAGCATTTCTTCTTGCTTGTTGACGGCCTGAATGTCTTCTTACTGAAGTGTCTGTTTGTCCATTTTTAAAAATTGGAATATTTTTGGTTTTTTTGTTAAGGTCTTGAATTTTTCTATAAAATTTTTAGAGATTAATCCTTTGTCTGCTATGTCATTGTCAACAATCTGTTTTCCAGTCTGTGTGTTCTTGTTTTACTTGTTAGGTAATATCTTATGATGTCCGCTGTGGTTGTTAAGTGCTGTATAGGGTTCATGAGGAGCATCTAGTGAGCTTGTTACTGACGACCTTGAGGTTGAAACCGACCTCATAGTCCAGCGCATTAACCAGCACCACCATAAAAGGACAAGGACTCCATGATGAACATTAATGTCTAATTTTTAGGGGTTCCACTTTTCTACTTTATCTTCTGCTGTTTATGAGTTTTCAGTTATGTTTGACAGTGTATTTTTGCCATATATTAGAGTCCCTGAGTTTGTTTCTATGTTTTCATGGATGATCTTTATAGCTCTAGGTTTTAGAACATGGTTTTAGTCTTGTTATACCTTTTATTTGTCTTTAAACAAAGTAGGGAGTCCTGGTATCGTGCTGTAGGTTAATGTCCTGGAATACAAGGTCAGTTAGAACCACAAGGTCGGAGTTCAAACTCACCAGATGCTCCTTGGAAAACCCCCCTCCCCCATACAAGGTCACTGTGATTCAGAACTGACTCGATGGCACTTAATAACAACAACCTAAGTAGAACACAAAGTGTCTGGTAGATTCTAAACACTATTAATATCTTATTCATTGATTTAGCTTGGGCTGTTGCAGTGTTAAGATTTGTAACTGGAAGAAATGACCACTGACTCAGGGAAGGTGGGATAGGAGATATCTCTCAGACAATCTCCCTTACAGCCATACAAGTCAGGAGAGAGAGGACAGCGTATAGTCATAAATACCTGTTGATGTATTACTGCAATGTCATTGTTGTTGTTGTTGTTATGTGCCGTGGAGTCGGTTCTGACCCATAGCGACCCTGTCCAGGGTTTCCGAGGCTGTCAATCTTTACGGGAGCAGAAAGCCTCATCTTTTTCCCACGGAATAACTGGTAGTTTCGAACTGCTGACCTTGAGGTTTGCAGCCCGATTCATAACCACTACGCTACCAGAGCTCCTTGGCAGGTATTAACTTAGTTACATATGAAAACTATATTTTCAGGATGTTTCAAAGATTTTCTAAACTTGACTTTGTTTTGGTTTTCTTTTCCTAGTTATTTCTCCGCTATATTTGCTTTATACTCTCAACGAAGAGGACAAAATGGTTAAGAAAGAGATAAGCATGCGTCAACAAACATGGGCTCTTCTGTGCAAGAATTTTCTTAGAAAATGGAGACTGAAAAGAGAGAGCTTATTGGTATGATTCATAACGTTTATTTTTCTATCCTTAGTGAATGAAAATATATTATGTAGTATTATGTCTTCTTGATATTTTATGCTCTTGAATTTTAATTCTTTTTGTTTTTAAATTTTTTTATTGTGAATTATGTGATAGTTTACATGGGAGAACATTAACTTTACATTCACCCTATCATATATCATTTCATTGCCATGGTTACAATCCCCTCCATGTATCATCAACCAACCAAAAAGTATACCCTGCAACTGCAAGCCTGTCCCCCTATCCCCGGTGGTCAGCACACAGCCCCCCTCTCTCTCTCTGGGTCTAGAGTCCCCGGCTGCTCCATCTCTCCACGTCATCATCTCTGCCTCCATCTCTGGTATCACTGCTTCTTGGGGTAGGGGATCCCACTCTGCTCTTCTCCCTTGATGGTTCCAGGGACCTCCACTCCTGGACTGCAAAGTCAATCACTGCCCTCCTTTTGCTACAAAATGTCCAACTTTACATTTTCAACCCTCTCAGTCAGTCCTGATAACAATTATTCACCATTGTACCACAAGGGACCTATCCCCATCTCTTTTCATTAGCCCCACCCAGACAGATTGGATGCTACTCAGTGGAGATTCTACCTTCTTCCATGCCCTCTGGATCTAGGCTCCCTCTTGAAAGCTTGTAAGCCAGTAAGCCAGTCACTTCTTGCCTTTGT